CCCCCCCCCTCGCCCCATGTGCCCCATCGGCGCCGCCGCCGCGGAGCCCACGCCGCGGAGGCGGAGGAAGAGGGGTGGGCCCGACGCCGGCTTTGGGGGGCCGTCTGGTGTGGCGGCAGGGGGGCGGGTGGCACGAGCGGCGCACGTGGTCCGCCGCATCCGCGCCCTCGCGGTCTGGACTTCGATCGCAGACGCAGAGGGGGAGCAGAACATTGAGTGGCATGCATGCTGAGGGGCATACATGCTAAAGTCGGGTCGGGCGAAAGGGGGGGATTGCAAAGGGGGGGGTTGAGAATCAGCTCACGTAGCTGATTTTCCCGGCGCCTCCCGGCGCCGGTGGCGGCTATGTATCGAGGAATGGACCCCTGGGTGAGGCGGAAACCAGCTGCATGCAGCAAATTTCGTAACCCCCCCTTTCCCAATCCCCCCCTTTCGTCCGGCCCGATAAAGGGCAGACGATCGAAGACGAAGAGACGAGGATCATGATGGGCGTTGTTTTTTATTCGGCGTTTCGACATTGGGCGGCAAGGGGGGGGGGAAGGGGGGTCTGGCTTCAGACCTCTGCTTAGTACGACGGTTTGCAAGAGTGCGGCATCTGGGGGAGACTCCGCCCGCTCGAAACAGGCCCCCCCAAACAGCCACGATCTACTCCATCGGGGGGGGTGGGGCCCGCGCCGATCGGCAAGACAACGAACCAAAAACGATGACATGTTGAGGAGGGCGAGGACGAAGAAGGGTGCGGGACATACAGTCGGGGCGTTGACCTAAGGAACCCTAAATAAGGAACGAGGCCCCTTTCTCCCATAAGTTGAACTTCGATTTCCCATGGGAAACCTCAGGAGAACCGAAGGTACACTGCAGAACAAGCAAGGAACACCGAGCCCCTCCCCAACGAAAAGGGTTCCTTCTTCAGGGCCCCGACTGTACGTGTTGAATGGCACGCCACCGGATAAGAGAGCGAACAGTCTCCAAATGACAGTGGCTGTTGTTGTGGGCGGCGTCGCCGGTATTCCACGCCTGCTCACTCTTTCCTGCCCCTCCACAGGCCGACACGCTGTCATAAGGCACCCTGACTAGGGAACGATTCCCCTTTTCGCCATACGCTCAACTCCGATTTCCAATAGCGCACCTAAGGAACACCTGAGAACAAACTGCAAAACAACCCAGGAGCACGAAACACCTCACCAACGAAAAGGGCTCCTTCTTCAGCGGCCCGACTGTATCATCTATCATCGGGGGTTGGGGGGTGAGATCGAAGGGGAACGGAGAGCCCCCCAGCGGAAAATCGGTTTTGGCTTCATGTTCGGCTCGTTCGTGCGGGCACAGCGTAGCGGCGTGGGCGGGCGACAAGAATGAACCGTCCGTTGCTCGGGCGCCGCCGGGATAGAAATCTGAGCCCCCTGCCCGTTTGGCGAGCGGATGCTGGGGGTGTCCCACCGTGGTGTCCCGATGGTGTCCCGTGGTGCCCGTCTCGCTGGTGTCACGATGGTGCTCCAATAGTGTCCACCTTGTGTCCCGATGGTGTCCACATGGTGTCCCGATGGTGTTTCGATGGTGTCCCGCGGTGTCCAAGTGGTGTCCCGATGGTGTCCCGGTGGTGTCCCGGTGGTGTCCCGGTGGTGTCCCGATCGGTGGCTCGATTGGTGTACCGATGGGTGTCCCAGTAGTGTTGTGTTTCGATTGTGTCCTCATGGGTTCCCGATGGAGTCCACGTGGTGCCCAGATAGTGTTCAGATGATGTGCCGATGGTGCTCCGACGGTGTCCACATGGTGCCCACATGGTGTCCAGATGGTGTCCCGATGGTGTCCTGATGGTGTCCCGATGGTGTTCTGATGGTGTCCCGATAGGTGCCCATGTGGTGTCCCTATGCTGTCCACATGATGTTCCGATGGTGTCCCGATAGTGTCCAGATGGTGTCCCGATGGTGTCTCGATTCTGTCCCGATGGTGTTCTGACGAAGTTCGAATGGTGTCCCGATGGTGTTCCAATGGTGTCCCGATGGGTGTCCACATGGTGCCCACATGGCGTCCACATGGTGTCCACATGGTTTCCCAAGGGTGCCCACATGGTGCCCAAGTGATGTCCCGATGGTGTCCCGATGGTGCCCCGGTGGTGTTCCGGTAGTGTCCCGCTGGTGTCCCGATGGTGTTCCAATAGTGTCTACGTGGTGCCCCGACGGCGTCCATATAGTGTCCCGATGGTGTCCACATGGTGTCCCCATGGTGTCCAAATGGTGTCCAGACGGTGTCCACATGGTGTCCACATGGTACCGTTCATTTTCTCCGCAATGCATTCAGGGGCTCCTCCCGACGGTTTTTCGATGGTGCCCCGTGGTGTCCATCTGGTGTTCCAATGGTGCCCACATGGTGTCCACATGGTGCCCCGATGATGTCCCGATGGTGCCCACATGGTGTCCCGATGGTGTCCACATGGTGTCTCGATGGTGTTCACATGGTGCCCCGATGGTGTCCCGATGATGTTCCGACGATGTGCCGTTGGTGCCCCGGTTGTGTCCCAACGGTGCCCAGATAGTGTCTCGATTTTGCCCCGATAGTGTCCCGATGATGTCCACATGGTGTTCGTCATGCAGCGTGGCCAGTATCGCAATCATGCATGGTCACCAGCTCGCGAGCGCATCACTAGCATCGTCATCATCATAGTTGTCGCAACTATCATCAGTTTGTTCCTTCCCCCACAACATCCTGATTCTCCGAAGGGTAATCGTAGAGATATCGTGTGGTCTCTCTCTTTCTCTCTTTCTCTACTCTGCTCACTTCATTCAACCGTATCAACTCGATATGCAATGTAGTGCTGAGAACATATAAACGTGTTTACACACATATGTACATGTATATATATAGAGACATTCACATGTAAATGTAAGTATGTGCATAAATCGATGAAAATTTGTATACATACACATATGTCTCTCCCGCTATCGCTCTCTCTCTATATATATATAAATAGATATGTGCACACCCAACGTTGCTCTATTCGAGTGATGTGTACGATGTCTGCCTTATCTACTTTATCCCGATGACAGGTGTCGCAAGTACTTTTTTCTCTCTCTCTCTCTCTCTCTCTCTCCCTCTAAATGTAAATGCTTATTTCCAAAACAATGCTTGTGGTCAGAGACTCTTACTTATGTCACCAAGGAATCCCAATGGGTCTGGCGACGATTCTCCACGTTGCCCCCCGTGGTCGCCTCGTGGCCGCCTCGTGCGCAGGGTGGCTCCGGCGAGGTTTCGCCGCGTTGTCGCCAAGTGGCCTTCTCGTGGCCGCCTCGTGCGCAGGGTGGGGCCGGCGAGGTTTCGCCACGCGGCCGCCAAGTGGCCGCCTCGTGGCCGCCACGTGGGCGCATCGTGCGTGAATACATAGCTGGCCATCGCTCGGACGTCCATTCCCTGTGCTTGCTTCGGTTTCGTGCGTGGTTTTTTTTGCAAGATGATCCATGATGCTCCTTAATAATCCCCGCCGAGAGAGTGTACACACGTCCGAGCGATACCAAGATAGCCCACACCGCATAGGTTCTCCTACCAAAAGAAAAAATACTTCATCCCCCATCCCCCTTCCGTCATACTGAGGTTATCGATTCCCCCATGGAACGTGCTGGTCAATTTACATCTGAAGATGCCCTATCGTTCATGTTCCATTGGAACTCTTGCCCTCCCAGAAGGCCGGGTATTGCCCCAAGCCCTTCATCCCTGTCAAATAAAACTATGCGCGCTAACTCGCTGGCCTTTGAAAACCATATTCCAAGAACCCCTTTGGACACATGGCTAAAAGTCCAAACGCGAGCGCACATGTCGAAGTCACACCGAAGACTCTAGATCTACAACCAGTTCAACATACGACCCGCCAAAAAACACATGTTTGTTCTACACAGCGCTTGCGAATTATTCTCCCGCGCGCACTTTCTGAGACGATACGGAACAACGTATGACTCAGACAATTTCGCCCAAAGTCAACTGTACCATCTCACCACGCGGTGCATCTGCGTTGATCTAGCATGCGCTCAGTGCGTGAATTCATGTCAAATAACATCATGCGGACCACACGCGCGCAACGCCACAAGCGCGTGTCACGTCAACGACCCGTGACTGTAAAATTGACTAACACGCTTTCATGACTTGCGCAACCATCCGGGAGCCTGATCCACTACCCAGACGGACTGAACAGGAGGAGGTCCCCCCAACCCGACATCAACGACACGTGCCTGTGAAAGTGGACGACCACGCTTTCATGATCTGCACAAGCATCCGGAGGCCTGATCCACTGACCGGACGCACTGAGGAGGAGGATGAGGAGGAGGAGGAGGCCCGCCCCACCAAACATACGCGACCCGTGCCTGTGAAACAGGACGACCACGCTTTTTTGATCTGCGCAACCACCCGGAAGCCTGATCCACTACCCGGACTGGCTGAGGAGGAGGAGGAGGAGGAGGAGGAGGGGGAGGGGGAGGGGGAGGAGGAGGAGGAGGAGGGGGGAAGAGGAGGAGGAGGAGGGGGGAAGGGGGGCCTGCCACGCTGGACGCTCACTGGAAGGCGACGGCGGACGCCGCGCCCGCGCCCGCGAGCTTCTGCCCCTTGCGGGAGCGGAGGCCCTTCAGGTGCCTGGTCGGCGGCGGCAGCGCGACCGGGCGCCCGCCCACGAGCAGCGTCGGCTTGAACTCGTCGGGGACCTCGTCCCGCATCACGGGGCTGTTGCGGTAGCGCTCGATGTTCGCCTTTTGGCCCTTCGTCTCGCTCCAGCACACGGTGCAGACCTGCTGGGAGTCCACCCCCCACTCGCGGAAGCCCTCGAAGACGCGGAAGAAGCGCTCCACGTGCGCATGGCCGGAAAGGTTCAGGAACGCGTACCCGACGTTTTGCGAGAGCTCGAAATTGACTGGGAGGTAAAGGAAGTCACAGTGCTGTGAGAATCCATGCAGCGCAAGCAGGTCGATCAGCCTTTGTCGGGTGTAGCATGGCGGCAAATTCCTCATCATCACCGTGGTGCCCTCGGGGCCACACAAGAGGCGGGCAAGTTGCATAGAAAGAAGAAGAAGAGGAGGAGGAGCACGGAGAGGAAGCTATTATCTATCATCCAACACCGTATCTCCCTCCTTCTCGCCATCCCTCCTCCGCATCATCACCAACAGCATCATCATTGACACAGTCATCACCATGAAAGTTACCACCCTTATCGTCCGAACCAGCATCATCATCAGCATCAGCATCGGCATCACCACCCTCATCGGCATCAAAGCCGTCACCGTCTCGTGCACCGCATCATGATTGCCATCAGTATGGCCTACACTCTGCCGCGCTCCTCCTCGCCCACCGACCTCACCGAACCACCCCCCTGTGTGCTTTTCTGTCGGTGCTGCGAAGGTGGGCTGTTGGACCAAGTCTGCCCTAGCCAGATGAGATCATTCTTGCAATCCCTGTCCCTCCTCGTCCTCGTGATCCCCCCCTACTTCCCTCAGCTGCCCTCGACCACAAATAACAGGATTCCCTCAGCTGCCCTCCACACACAAATGAATACACACAAATAGCAGGAGTCCCCATATTTCCCTATATTTCCTGGGCTTTTGCTTCCCCCCCCACACCTCCCATACTTTGCCATATTTTCTCGGGGAATCGACGATTAGTTGTGTCTGTGTGTGTTTTTTCCCTTCTGGACTTCCCTCCGCTGCCCTCCGCCTACTCCTCCTCGAGCAGCAGGCACGGTCTGTCGCGAGCGGGCACTCGCCCCGAGCTCGCCCGAGGTGGTTGCGACCAGGTTGCCCTCTCCTTCCTCCTCCTCCTCCTCCTCCTCCTGTTCCTCCTGCTCCTCTTCCTCGTCCTCATCCCTCCTCCTCTTCATCATCACCATCATCATCAACACCATCAGCACCATCATCACCATCATCAGCATCATCATCATCATCATCATCATCCTCCTCATCATCATCATCATCCTCATCATCATCATCATCATCATCATCATCATCATCATCATCGGCATCATGGCCATCATCGTCATCATCGGCATCATCGACATCATCGTCATCAGCATCGTCATCATCATCATCGTCATCATCACCATCGTCGTCATCGTGGTCATCAACATCATCATCGGCATCAGAGGCGTCATCGTCATCGTCATCACCATCCTCATCCTCGTCCGTCATCCCCATCCTCGCCCTCATCCTCATCCTCGCCAGCATCATCACCTTAGTAATAGCTATAAGAAATAACAGCACACATAACAATAATGATACTAATCATCATCGGCAGCATCATCAGCACCATCACCATCAACATCGTCAAACTCGACAATATCATCTTCATCATCAACAGCAGCAACATCACCAGCATCATCATCATCATCATCACCATCATCAGCATCATCAGCATCGTCATCATCATCATCACTGCCGTCCTCATTTGATTCCCCATCCTCATCCAATTCCTCATGCTCGTTATCATCCTCGTCGGCTTCCCCTCCTCCTCCTCATCATCCTCCTCCCTTCCTCCGCCCGTGCAAATCCCCTTCTTCTCTACCTTGCGCCCATATAGGAAGTACCCGCTGCCGTGCCTTCAAGGGCCGGGACCCCAAAGTTGCTCGAATTCCCGGCGTGACGTGGGCGCCCCCGGGATGTGGCGCATGAGCCACAACGACGCTCAAGTCCGTCAGGATGGCCCAAGACAGTCCCAACAACGCCCCAGGAATCCCGAGAGGATCGCAAAGCAACCTGAAACGACCGCAAAACGGCCCAAGACACCCGCAATATTCCCCGGGACGGCTCAAAGAGGGCTCCATGAGAGCCCGAGAGAAGGCCCCAAGAGGCACAAATCATTGAGTTATCTGACACTGCTTACAACAACTTCGCATTCTCGCTCCCGCGCCCCGACGGAGGAGACGGCCCAAGATGGCCCCCAAAAAGGGGCCCCCAAACGGCCCAAGAGTGCCCCAAAACGGCCCAGGCGGGTCCCAAGAGAGCCCAAGAGGGTCACATGAGAAGCTCAATCTTCTAGGCCTTCTCTGAAAGATGACCCCCGAGACCGACAGCATACGCCCAAGAGGTCCCCAAGAGGTCCCCAGAGGCCACAAGGCGCCCCCAAGAGACACCAAGAGGCCCCCAAAGAGTCTCCCAACATTCCCCCAAAAGACCCCGGTGAAGCCTTTCCAAGGGACCCCGAGAAGCCTCCAACAGACCCCTTGTCTACGACCCAGGCACAGTGGTGGGATGGGCCGAAGGCCGCGAGATCCGCAGCCCCCTGTGTTGATCACAAGGGTGCACGGAGTGCCGATTTGGATTCTTGTTTTGACTGTTGAAAACCTTTTCCAAAGGTCCCCAGAGGCCTTCGCCTTGACCCGGACACACGGAAAGACCTGGATGACCCCCATTCCGTCGGCACAAAACAAACTTTTTCGCCTGAGACTTCCTCACACAATGGAGATACTAGCTCAAGACGGCCCAAGATGGCCTCAGAGACGGCCTAAGATGCCTCCAAATTATCCCAAGATGCATGGCCCCAGGACGGCCCAAGATGCCCTCCAGACGGCCCAAGAAGCCCCCAAGCCGCCCCGAGAGGGCTCCAAGTGGAACTCCAGGAGGCCCACATCATTGATTTCCGCTGGGTGCTTCAATAAGCCTCCGAAAGACCCGCAAGACGGCACAAGATAGCTCCAACGCGGCCTAAGAGGCCCGCAAGACAGCCCCAAAACAGCCCCGCAGATCTCCAAGACGGCCCAACAGTGCCCAACGAGGGACCCACGACTGCCACGAGAGGTCCCCAAGACGGCCTCCGACGGCCCAGAGGTCCCTCAGTGGGACCCCTGGATGCCTCCAAGACGCCCCCGAAGAGGCTCCGAGGGACCCCCAGGAGGCCCCTCCGAGGCAGCCAAGCAGCCCGGAGCAGACCCTCGGCATACCTCCCAAGCTCGGGTCGGGCGAAAGGGGGGGATAGCAAAGGGGGGGGTTGAGAATCAGCTCACGTAGCTGATTTTCCCGGCGCCTCCCGGCGCAGGGAGGCGCCCATGTATCGAGGAATGGGCCCCTCGGTGGGGCCGAAACCAGCTGCATGCAGCAAATTTCGTAACCCCCCCTTTCGCAACCCCCCCCTTTCGTCTGGCCCGACAAGCGCCGTGCTCCCACCGGGCGCCCCACGAGGCGGCACGGGCGGCCACGTGGCGCAAACCCTCGGCATACCACCCCGGGCGCGGGGCGCCCCCGAGGCGCCCACGAGGCGCCCACGGGCGGCCACGCGGCGCCGTCTCGGCACACCCCCGACGCGCGGGACGCCCGCGAGGCGCCCAAGAGGCGGCGCGGGCCGCAGCGCGGCGGAAACCTGGAATACCAACCAAGGAGGAGGAGGAGGAGGAGGAGGAGGAGGAGGAGGAGGAGGAGGAGGAGGAGGAGGAAAAGGGGGAGGAGGAGGAGGGGAGGAGGAGGAGGAGGAGGAGGAGGAGGAGGAGGAGGAGGAGGAGGAGGAGGGGGAGGGGGAGGGGGAGGAGGAGGAGGAGGAGGAGGAGGAGGAGGAGGAGGAGGAGGAGGAGGAGGAGGAGGAGGAGGAAGGAGGAGGGAGGAGGAGGGGGGGAGGGGGGAGGAGGAGGAGGATGGGGAGGGGGGGAGGAGGAGGAGGAGGAGGAGGAGGAGGAGGAGGAGGAGGAGGAGGAGGAGGAGGAGGAGGAGGAGGAGGAAGTGGGAAACCCTACGTGCAAGCACTGCTTCGGGAAACTAAAAACGTCGTCTGGGCCAGGCCTCGGCTGCCTCGTCTGCCTCCTCCCTCTCGGAGCCCAGAGCTGCGAGGTCTCAGGCAAAACAGGCCAGACCACAGCTCGCGCGGCATCTCGGAGCTCAGAATTGCGAGAATGTCTTAGGCGAAACGGGCTGGACCACCTTGATCCAGGCCACCTTGGAGCCCAGAGTTGCGAGGAGTTCTCAGGCGAAACGGGCCAAACCGCCTCGCGCGGGCATGTCGGAACCCAGAGTTGCGAGGACATCTCAGGCGAAGCGGGCCGGACCACTCCTATCCCGGTCAGAGAATGTCTCAGGCGAAACGGGCCGTACCACCTCGCGCGCGGTCATCTGGGAGCCCAGATTTGCGACGATGCTGGACTACCTCGCGCATGCCATCTCGGAGCACGGAGTTGCGATGATATCTCATGCAAAACGGGCCAGACCACCTCAGTCCTGGCCACCTCGGAGCCCCCAATTGTGAGGATGTCTGGGGCGAAACGGGCTGGCCACCTCGCGCGCAGCATCTGGGAGCCCAGAGTTGCGAGGATCTCCGGCGAAAAGGGCCCCATCCTGGCCAACTCAGAAGCGAGAGCTGTGAGGACGCCTTGGCCGAAACGGGCGAGGCCACCTCGGCACCTTGAGAGGAAGGCCTTTGTGCGGGGGCCCATCGGGCGGAACCTGATCAGACAAGAACGGGAAGCGCCGATGCTGTCTGTTGGGGGAGGTGAAGAGGAGGAGGAGGAGGAGGAGGAGGAGGAGGAGGAGGAGGAGGAGGAGGAGGAGGAGGAGGAGGAGGAGGAGGAGGAGGAGGAGGGGTAGGGGGAGGGGGAAAGAAGACAAGGATGATGCCGACGACAAGGCGGCGGATGACGAGGTTGCCAGCGTGGTTGACGGGGAGGGCAGCGAGGGGAGCAGGAGGACAGCGAGTAGAAAGACAAGCGCGAGCGCCACTGCGCTCTTGGGCACGCCGTGGGCGTGCCCTCGGGTCCTTTCTGCCTAGTGCTCTGGGACTCACTCCTCGCTCCTGAGGATTCCTTGAGGGACCCGGACCCCGTGCTCTCGGACCCCTCGCTCTGGATTCTCCAGGGGCTTCTCGCGTGCCCCCCGGGGTTCCTGGCAACTTCTCGCACGACGTTTTCGGGCCCGGGAGGGCCTCCGGACGGGCCAAGACGGTCCGAGAGGGCCCCGAGACGCCGAAAGATCGCCCCAAGACGCTCAAGATGGCCCGCCGGTGGCCCAAGAGGCCTCCAAGACGCCCCAAGAGGTCTCCTCTCCAAGAGGCTTCCGAA